AAAAATTATTGCTATTAATTAAGCTACGTCTACTCTTATGAAGGTAGGTGCTGGCCGATATACCTGTCTATCATTAAGAGCAGCAAAACAATTTTGAATGTATCTGTCAATGGGGATACAATTAAATGAAAGATACTGTGCTTCTAAAAGTGTGCTCGAAAAGTCAGAGACTGCTTCTTTTGGTATGATACCAACTTCAATCAGCCATGAATTTAGAGAACCATGTTCGTATCATGGACGGATGAAAGCATTTGTCCGACTGAAACTGTAACCTGAAAAATATTAACAACAATTTCGTATAAAAAAATAACTTTTGATTTTACCTGGCCATACAATAGTATAGGAATAACGAGACTTCCAGTACTGTTAGTGCATATGGCGAATTGTTTTTTATGCAATCGGCAGTACTCTTTATAAAGAAATATCTGCTCTGGTAGAATATAAATCAAATGAAATGGATCTTTCCCGATTTGCCTAATACATCCTGCATGAGGCGGTGTCTATTTTAACTCTTGCAGGATGTCCACTGGATCATTTCCATCCGATGTGTCCACGCCTATTTTTTTATCTTTCGTTTCCTTGGAAAGTTTTCTTAATACATCTCCAGAGTACATGATAGGAGCTTTTACATCTCCCAATATTTGCTCCTTACAAGCGATTTTTTGTCGCAAATTTGCTGTACCCTCTTTTAATACTTGCTCGCCAATCATTTGCCGTTTTTCATTTCGTAACTGCCGTTTCATAACTTCATGGGGAGAACATCGTGTATCGTTACAGATAACTTCGATCCAAACATCTGATCCAGAAAGGGGTTCATTTTCAATTATGCCACGAAAACGATTTTTACATTTTACTGAATTCTTGCATTTTCCAGATATTAACAAATGTGGCTCATCTGGATTTGAAGAAACCACATTATTTTTGAAAGAAAATGTGCAAGGCATTCTGTACTGTCTCCAAAATTCCGCATTACTCAGTAACCAATCACAGCATACGAAAAATGATTCGGATCACTAAGTAACCAATCACAACATACGAAAAGTGATCCGGATCATGATCCTTGAGCATGCCAAAAACGGCCATTGTATCATACCATCTATAAGGTTTCAGTTTTTGATACTCCTTTCCTTTATAAACAACGGTTCTAGACTAAATATACTCCAATTTATCTTTTACAATACATAAGTCGAAATATTTTCTGTTATTGATCTGTGACGATGAAGGATATTCCACTTGATCATCTTCAGAAGAATCGTCTTCATAATCTTCATAAATTCCCTCCTCGTCTTCTTTAAATGTCACTGGTATCTTTACTTTGACGGGGATTTCAAGTTTTTCGAACACTTTGCTTTTTAATTGTCGTCGATCCTCTCTTAAATTTATATAAAAATCATACGCTGACCACTTATTATTTACTTAATTGCTTGCTTTTGCGTAAAATGCATCTGTATATATGGAGGTAATTCGCTATTATTAATTATTATTATTAGTTGTGATTTATTTCGCAGATAGCTGCATTTGCTTCTTCAATTTCTACCTTACATCGGCTGTTTTGGTATGGTCATGGATCGCGATCCGGATCACAAAGTAACCAATCACAGCATAGGAAAAGTGATCTGGATCACACGATCCATTGCGATCCATGACCATGCCGAAAACGGCCACCGATTACCAAGTTTCAGTTTCAGTCAACTGTGTCGCAAGCCTTAAAGTACAATGCATTCCGCTACTCGACAATTCGAACAGATGGCGCTTCGACTTATTGAAAATTCTTCAATTTATCCGTTTAACGTTTTGTCCATTCGAGAACATAATTTTCTTTTAATTTTAAATCCGAAAAACCTAAAATTCGTACACCTAGTGATTCTGCAGTCGTGAATGCAATGTTATAATCATTATGCTTTTTTTTAATTAAGTTCACGCGACTTTTGGAAAAACCATTTTTGTCTTTCTCTCTCCTATGAGAGAATCGACTGCATTGTACTTAAAGGCTTGCGACACAGTTGACAACTTACCTTGCATATATCAAATACTGTGATCAAACCTTTTTGGCTTTCTTTGTAACGCGGAGCAATCCATCACTAATCCTATATGCAATCTTGTACAAAAAAATGTCTTATGTTTGATTATTGTGTATAGTTTCCTGTCTTGAATAAACGTTTAGAAGGTAAGTAATAGTTTATTCGTAAATAATTGTTTCAATAAGAAAATTAATTATATTTAACAAAATCGTACTTTTATTTATGCAGATGCCGCGTCGGTGTAAGGTAGAAATTGAACAAGCAAATTCAGCTATCTACGAAATAAATCACAACTTTAATAATGGCGAATTACCTCCATATGCAGATGCATTTTACGCAAAAGCAAGCAATAAAGTAAATAATAAGTGGTCAGCGCATGGTTTTTATATAAATCACGAAGGATATCATTATACACCTGTCTGCCTTCGAAAATCAGATCGATGAGAGTTGTACAACGATTCTCATAAGGATGTATCATTTTTCAACATTAGAAAAGTTTTTACACCAGGTGCTGTTATTTATACAAAAATTTTAGAATGAAGTCTTGCTGGTATACTTTCAGTATGACCACGATACTGTAAGCGGACAGTTAATCTAGATCACTTAAAAGAACTTTTTTATATTATTTTTAATTTTGGATATAATACAAAAGCATGCTAAATTTGAAGCGAAAAACAAATAATATTTGCTTTTTAAATTAAAGTTATTTGAAGAGAAAAAAGACTTCAAATTGATACAGGTCACTAAATGGTAGGGAAAAAAAACAAAACATTATTTTTCGTTCCCGTATTTTCTTGGCCGAGCCAATGTTTACTATCTTAAAGGAAAATTGTAATATCTTTTTTTTTTTTAGTTTCTTTTTAGATATCCTTTTGCAGTAATTTGTTTAAACCAAGCGTTTTTCGAAGCAATACTAGTAATTAACAATTTTAAATGTATTTTAGCGTATAATGATAAAGGGTTATTAGGTTATATTTTAATATGTATATTTTACACTATGTATTATATATTATATTATATATATATATATATATAGTTTAATATATAACATTTTATAATCTAATAATACCGTACATTATGACTTAGTTATTATTTTAGTTTTAATTAAAAGTTAAGTAAATTTAGTAAATTAGGAAAGGCTGAGTAATTTTATTTTTTAATTTTATTTTAAGAGAATTCTTTGAGATATAGGAAAAACTCGCGAGAAGACGCGCGACTTTGTCTCTGGCCCAAGCGAAACGAGTGAACCGTACGCGCATCGTTTTGAGTCAGAGATAGGAAGCGCAGACGCGAGCTGCCCTCTCTCTTAGAGAAGTTCTCCCACTGTACGTTTTGGGAAATGGCGATCGAGGGAGCTCGATGCACTGGACCAAAACGTCAGTTCTGTCCTGAGCTCACCTAGAGGTTGGTCTTCCTCCTCCGCTCAGCCTAACCACTACGTTATACTTATACTAAAATTCACAAAATTGTACTTAGAAAATTTTCACCCAAAATTGGACTTAGAAAATTTTCCGGGAAATTTGGACTTAGAAAATTTTCGAAGAAATTTGGACTTAGAAAATTTTCGAAGAAATTTGGACTTAGAATATTTTCGTCCAATTTTGAACTTATAATATTTTCACCCAATTTTGAACTTAGAATATTTTCGTCCAATTTTGGACTTAAAATATTTTCGTCCTTAGGAACTTAGAATATTTTCCCGAGCTCCGATACTTAAATTTCTTCATTGACTTGTACTTTTAAAATAAACTGTCTTTGAAATTTTACATGCCTTTGACTCGATTCAATTCATTTATTTGCATGCACCCCCCCCCCGCCGTCTTTGAACATAGCATAGTATTGAGTTAGATATCCTCTCAATACCAGTGCACTATATTTCATTGAGCTGGTTATCCTCTGAATATTAGAGTAACACCGAACTGGTTATCCTCTCGACATCCACACATCACCACCGAGTTGGTTATCCTCTCGGACACACAACATCATACGTTGAGTTGGTTATCCTCTCGACATCCACACATAACAACCGAGTTGGCTATCCTCTCGGACGCACAACATCATACGTTGAGTTGGTTATCCTCTCGACATCCACACATAACAACCGAGTTGGCTATCCTCTCGGACACACAACATCATACGTTGAGTTGGTTATCCTCTCGACATCCACACATAACAACCGAGTTGGTTATCCTCTCGGACACACAACATCATACGTTGAGTTGGTTATCTTCTCGACATCCACACATACCAACCGAGTTGGTTATCCTCTCGGACGCACAACATAATACGTTGAGTTGGTTATCCTCTCGACATCCACACATAACAACCGAGTTGGTTATCCTCTCGGACACACAACATCATACGTTGAGTTGGTTATCCTCTCGACATCCACACATAACAACCGAGTTGGCTATCCTCTCGGACACACAACATCATACGTTGAGTTGGTTATCCTCTCGACATCCACACATACCAACCGAGTTGGTTATCCTCTCGGACACACTACATCGTACGTTGAGTTGGTTATCCTCTCGACATCCACACATACCAACCGAGTTGGTTATCCTCTCGGACACACTACATCGTACGTTGAGTTGGTTATCCTCTCAATACACCAACACTTTTCATCGAGCTGGTTATCCTCTCGATATCCACACACATCAACCAAGTTGGTTATCCTCTTGGGCTTACTACACTATGCTTCGAGTTGGATATTCTCTCAACACAACAACAATCAACGTCGAGCTGGTTATCCTCTCGACATCACTCCGTTATCAAGTAGATCAATTAAGCGCTTATTAGTAACTCTCTTTTCAACTCATCGAACCTTTGTTTACCGACAATCTCAATTGTCCATCTCTGAGCCAGTTAATCTCCCCCCTACAATTTGACTGGTATCAACTGGCGCCCAACGTGGGGCTCGACATTGCTTTTCTAGCTTTTGGTTCTGATGGATGTCAGAACGAATTCACACACCTGATGTCTCCTTCTCCCAGCCGAGCTAACCAACAAACGCCCATGACCTCTGATCCAGAAAAGAGGACCCTAAGGAACTTACCAAGTCGTCGAGCGAACGGACTTTTCCGCTCGCCGCCACTCATCAGACACGCTTCAGAGCAGCGTCTGAGTTCGGGAGTTCGTCCAAGCCGACGAGAATCTATCGCCAAGGGGCTAGATAATCTCACGGAGATCGAAATACCTCCTTTCAATCCGCCCTTAGGACCTCCAGTTCAACACAGTCCTCCTACGACTAACCAAAGTATACGTAGCGATCTTTCCGCGTCGGCATCTTCGATTAGAGTATCTCCACTTCAAGGGGGAAGCTCTCAAGAAACTATCACGACTTCCCCTTCAAGAAACACTTCCGGGAGTGGTCAAGAAAACCCGATGGCGCCCAGTCCTTCAAACAGCTTCATCTTAAACATGGCGACTTCCGGTCCGCCTATCACCTCCTCTCCACCTACTACATCGGGGGAGACAGCACCGCCTCTCAACCTTCTTGGTTCTCTCATCCCGATACCTGACGGTTCGGGATCATCAGAGAGCTCCTCGTTCGCCCCTTCAACATCTCTTCCGTTAGCCATGCCGTCGAATTTAACGGCAGAAGATTGGATGGGACTCATTAGAGCCATCCAGGCTCCCGCTCCCCCCTTTCCTGAATTTAACGGTCAGGACTATGAAGATCCACAAAAATTTCTGCAAGCTTGTGAGAAATATTTCTGTAACGCTCGCACGGATCCAGACCAACGAACGCAGCTCGTAAATAAGGGACTAAAGGGGGATGCCCAGAAATGGTGGGCATTGTACAAAGATCTCTTACTGCCGTGGGGAGAATTCGAGTCTTTGCTGTTAAGCAAATATGCCAGTAGCACTGCAGTAATGCGATTACATGAATCTCTGTATTCGCAAAAACAGGGAGAGAGAGAACCTGTCGCTATCTTTCTCCAGCGAAAAATCTTGTTAGCGAGACGATTAAATCCTCAATTTGATCCCGCAGACCTTACTACCTTGCTTCTAGAATCCTTAAAGCCTAGCTTGCGCAAACTCGTTAGACTTTCAAAACCGAGAACAGTCACGGAACTCTTAGAAGTGTCCTCTAAAGCGGAACAAGACGAAGCCGATTGTGCTCCCCGAAAATCGGTTCCTACTAAAGAAGAACCTCCAAAGAAATCAGTTTCGGAACCACTTAACCCTCGTCAACAAAGATCACCGCCCCCTTGTCACTTCTGTCCCGAGATGCACTTTCATCGGGACTGTCCCATACTCCAAACTCAGCGTTCTCAACCCTGTCAGGAAAACTGGCGAGCCCCGGCGGGTACAACTCCAGCAGCACCCGTCGCGGGAAACTCCCAGTCTTAAGCGCCATTTATTCTTCAGCCCAGGATCTGCCTCGTGCTCGAGTCCGCATTGGTACCCGAGAAATCGTGGCAGAAATTGACTCCTGCGCCACTCACAACTTCGTACGATTAGCAGTGCTCACTGCTCACGAACGTTCCCTCCTTCAATCAGGACCTACACAGGCGAAACTTGCCGCTAGTGGAGCCACGATACAACTACAAGGCTCGCTGACCCTCTGCCCCCTTATCGGAGACCAAGTTTACCCAGGTGTTTTCCACGCTTGTCGCGATTTGCGCGCTGATATCGTCCTTGGTAGAGCATGGCTCAAAGATCACGATGTTCATCATGAACACCGAAACGATTGTCTCTACCTTGGAAGAAAGCAACGCCGTCAAATTTATTTGACACCACTATCAGTTCCCCTCGCCGAGCCAACAGAGCCGCTACCATTTGATTTAACCTCTGTTCCGACTCAGTACGAAGCAGCAGTTCGAAGCGTTTTAAAAACTTTTGACCCGATCTTCTATAAGGGCGGAAAACTTCGCCACACCATTGCCACTAGTCATGAAATCCGAATAGCAAATCCCCGACCTTTCAGAGCCGCTCCCCGTCAATATTCGGTAGAAAAACGAAGATTCATTGACACCGAGACAAAGGAAATGCTCGCCCAAGAAGTTATCGAACCAGCTACAGCTGACTTCAGTTCGGCTATCGTTGTTGCTGATAAACCTGGAGGGGGTTTCCGTTTCTGTGTCGACTATCGTCCCGTCAACGGACAGACTGAGGACGCACCACAGTGTTTGCCCCGAATCCACGACGTCCTCAAAACCGTAGGGACCGCTACGATTTTCTCAACAATGGATTTTAAAAATGGCTATTGGCAAATCCCCATGTCCCCAAAGTCGAGAAAGTATACCGCTTTCTCAACGCCTGATGGAGGCCAATACCAATTCAAGAGGATGCCTTTCGGCTTAAAAAACGCACCAGGCACCTTCCAAAATTTGATGCGTCAAGTACTCGCCTCATTCTGGGGGGAGTTTTGTATAGCGTATCTGGATGATATCATCATATTCTCACATTCGTGGGAGGAACACCTGGTACATTTAGCCAAAGTTCTCGAAAGGATCCAAATCTTTGGTCTCACATGCAGCCCCGCCAAATGTCGTTTTGGACACACCAGACTTCCGTATCTCGGTCATGTCGTTTCGGCAAACGGAAACGAAGCACAACCAAAACACATCGAAGCTATTCAAAATACTTCACCTCCAAGAAACCGGAGACAACTAGCTTCCTTCTTAGGGACGTGTAATTGGCTAATGGAGTACGTGCACCATTACTCAGAATTGACGGCCCCTCTGACGAACCTGTTGTCCGTAAAAAAGCCCTACAAATGGACGGAAGTGCATCAGAAGGCTTTTGAAACAGTCAAAGAAGCCTTTAAAGAACCTCCAGCTTTAAGTCGTCCCGATCCACAACTCCCCTACGTACTCCAGATTGAAACAGGTTCACTTGGTATGGGAGCTGTCCTGTTCCAAAAAACTCAAACTGGAGAAAGGCGGATCATCTCGTACGGTAGTGCAAAGTTTAAACCCGTGGAAACCCGTTATCCGTTAGACGAACAAACCTGTCTGACTATCGTCTGGGCCTTTAAAAAATACCGTCCGTATTTAGAAGAACGCCCGTTTGTCCTCCGAGCAGATAAAAAGGCCCTAGTCTGGTTGGACAAACTAAAAGGTACTCGGACCAAATTAACAAGTTGGCACATCTTGATTAACGAGTTTAAATTCACTGTGAAGCACGCACCGAAAAATGATCGAGGATTACCTAATGCCCTATCCTCCGTTCCTGATCCAATGGAAGGAGCCCCTGGAGAATCAGATCTGGAGAGAATCATGTTTCCTGATCAAAATTCTCCTCCTACACAAGAAATAGATCTACCAGTCATTAGTGCAATTTATACCCCCACTCTTCGAGACGAGATCGTGGAGTTGCAACAAAATGACCCACTCATTGGTCGACAAATGCAAGAGTGGATCTCCATAGGACAACGGGGACCATCCAACCAACGAGAGGAGAATTTCTATGAAAGCAACTACCTCGACGAGCGTGGGTTCTGGAAGTTTTGCCCATACAACGAGCGATGGCAACTACGTGTTCCTACCACAATGAAAGAACGAGTATTATGGGAATACCACGATGTCCCTTTAGCTGGGCATCCCGGTGCGGAAGAAACTTTCCGCAGTATAAGTGAACATTTCTTTTGGCCGAAAATGGGTCGCGACATCCGCTCCTACGTGGCCAGTTGTCATTTGTGCCTCTGCTCAAAACCGATACATCACCGGAACCACGTCGGCCTAAAACCCCGAAAACCTCATTCAGCATGGGAAACAATTGCCCTAGACTTAATGGGACCATACCCCCTAACCACTAAAGGTAACCGCTTTATCCTGGTAATCACAGACCTTTTTACCCGATGGGTTGAAGCCTTTCCGATAAGAAATTCTCACTCTTCAACTATCATCAGAATTCTCGAGGAAGAAGTTTTCTCCCGTTACGGATACCCACGTAAAATCTTAAGTGATAACGGCCCTCAGTTCCGAAGTAATTTGTGGGCCAAATCTGGTGAACAATGGGCTTGTACCTTGTGGACTACACCAGAATATCATCCCCAAGGAAACCCCACGGAACGACGTAACCAAGAGGTGAAGAAGGGTCTTCGACTCCGTCTCCATGATGGAAATCAGCGAATATGGGACCAAAAGCTACCACAACTACTCCTTGGCCTTCGGCGGCGCCGAAATGCCGCCACAGGATTTACTCCAGCAAGTTTAATGTTCGGTCGACAAATCCGACGTCCCGGAGAATGGGATTTACCTATCGATCTGGAACCAAAACAGGATGAAGGATTTCAACATCGCGAGAATAAGGCCTTCCAGCACCAAACGCAATACCAACGACGCTACGCGGGTCCACCAAATGAACCCCCCTTCAAAGTTGGAGATTTGGTTCTAGCAAAAAATACACGCCTTTCAAATGCCGCCGAACGGTACAATGCCAGATTGGCGCCTATTCGGACCGGGCCTTATCCAGTTCTAGAAATCGTGTCCCCTGGTGTACTTTGGATCCAAAAAGAAGATGGGCCCCACAAAGTCTATGTTACGGACGTGATATTAGCTCCCATCCTGAAACGCGATCCAGTAGTTCCAGAAGTACCTTCGCCATCAGAGGATCCCACTCCAACTAGAACAACGGTCAATGAGGACGAGAAGATGACTGATAACTCCGAAGAGTTATTTACAAATGAGGCGGTACACGCTCAAGTCAACTTCCCTCTCAGACTTACATCTCCGACTATTCTCAACAATTCAATCCCTGAAATTACGCAACCAACCACGATTCCACTTGCTGAGCAGATTGATATGGAGATTCCTGCTACCTCACGTCAGCAAGAACAACTCGACGATAGTCCACACGTCGAACTACAATATCGCTTGCGTCCTCGTAAAACCGCAAAATATCGCGACGCTCGTCCTTACGCACGTCATAAAAAATAAGTATAAAATTAGCATTTTCTACATATTATCAAGTCGTTTCTTGTACCAAAAAACACTCTCATTTAAGATATCCAGACCCAATAAGTTCTCTCTAAGGGACTTTATTCCTCCTGGAATAATACCAATAATAAATCGTTGAACGAACTTAACCAGTTGATTGCCAATTCCGAGAAATTGTCTTATCATGAAGTTGTATACACTCAAATCCATACTGGTTTAGTTCACCATCTTCAGCTAATCCCGATATTTCGATGACGAAACTCGTGCTGCACCTTTTCACTCGAGTTTCTCAGCAAGCCGCTCCTTGCCTCGGCCGACGTAAGGACCTCGAAATATTCAAGGATTACTGCGAGATACCGTCACTTCGGACGAAGTGACAAAGACGAAACGTGAACTCGGAATAGTTCACACTACCAGCGCTTCAAGAATCACCACCAGAGGACCCTTGGATAAAACAACAACAATGACACATGCGGCTGGAAAAGCTCACGTGTCCAACTCGCCAACAACCAACGACCAGGAAGAGGACATCTACAAAGAAGATATACCGTCGAACTTCCTTCGTTGAAATAAAATCTGTAACTTCATAACTACTAGTCCGCTTCGAACAACTCTTTAATTCGTAACTATTGTCTTTCCAAGAAGGGGGTTGATACAGGTCACTAAATGGTAGGGAAAAAAACAAAACATTATTTTTCGTTCCCGTATTTTCTTGGCCGAGCCAATGTTTACTATCTTAAAGGAAAATTGTAATATCTTTTTTTTTTAGTTTCTTTTTAGATATCCTTTTGCAGTAATTTGTTTAAACCAAGCGTTTTTCGAAGCAATACTAGTAATTAACAATTTTAAATGTATTTTAGCGTATAATGATAAAGGGTTATTAGGTTATATTTTAATATGTATATTTTACACTATGTATTATGTATTATATTATATATATATATAGTTTAATATATAACATTTTATAATCTAATAATACCGTACATTATGACTTAGTTATTATTTTAGTTTTAATTAAAAGTTAAGTAATTTTAGTAAATTAGGAAAGGCTGAGTAATTTTATTTTTTAATTTTATTTTAAGAGAATTCTTTGAGATATAGGAAAAACTCGCGAGAAGACGCGCGACTTTGTCTCTGGCCCAAGCGAAACGAGTGAACCGTACGCGCATCGTTTTGAGTCAGAGATAGGAAGCGCAGACGCGAGCTGCCCTCTCTCTTAGAGAAGTTCTCCCACTGTACGTTTTGGGAAATGGCGATCGAGGGAGCTCGATGCACTGGACCAAAACGTCAGTTCTGTCCTGAGCTCACCTAGAGGTTGGTCTTCCTCCTCCGCTCAGCCTAACCACTACGTTATACTTATACTAAAATTCACAAAATTGTACTTAGAAAATTTTCACCCAAAATTGGACTTAGAAAATTTTCCGGGAAATTTGGACTTAGAAAATTTTCGAAGAAATTTGGACTTAGAAAATTTTCGAAGAAATTTGGACTTAGAATATTTTCGTCCAATTTTGAACTTATAATATTTTCACCCAATTTTGAACTTAGAATATTTTCGTCCAATTTTGGACTTAAAATATTTTCGTCCTTAGGAACTTAGAATATTTTCCCGAGCTCCGATACTTAAATTTCTTCATTGACTTGTACTTTTAAAATAAACTGTCTTTGAAATTTTACATGCCTTTGACTCGATTCAATTCATTTATTTGCATGCACCCCCCCCCCCCCGCCGTCTTTGAACATAGCATAGTATTGAGTTAGATATCCTCTCAATACCAGTGCACTATATTTCATTGAGCTGGTTATCCTCTGAATATTAGAGTAACACCGAACTGGTTATCCTCTCGACATCCACACATCACCACCGAGTTGGTTATCCTCTCGGACACACAACATCATACGTTGAGTTGGTTATCCTCTCGACATCCACACATAACAACCGAGTTGGCTATCCCCTCGGACGCACAACATCATACGTTGAGTTGGTTATCCTCTCGACATCCACACATAACAACCGAGTTGGCTATCCTCTCGGACACACAACATCATACGTTGAGTTGGTTATCCTCTCGACATCCACACATAACAACCGAGTTGGTTATCCTCTCGGACACACAACATCATACGTTGAGTTGGTTATCCTCTCGACATCCACACATACCAACCGAGTTGGTTATCCTCTCGGACGCACAACATAATACGTTGAGTTGGTTATCCTCTCGACATCCACACATAACAACCGAGTTGGTTATCCTCTCGGACACACAACATCATACGTTGAGTTGGTTATCCTCTCGACATCCACACATAACAACCGAGTTGGCTATCCTCTCGGACACACAACATCATACGTTGAGTTGGTTATCCTCTCGGACACACTACATCGTACGTTGAGTTGGTTATCCTCTCGACATCCACACATACCAACCGAGTTGGTTATCCTCTCGGACACACTACATCGTACGTTGAGTTGGTTATCCTCTCAATACACCAACACTTTTCATCGAGCTGGTTATCCTCTCGATATCCACACACATCAACCAAGTTGGTTATCCTCTTGGGCTTACTACACTATGCTTCGAGTTGGATATTCTCTCAACACAACAACAATCAACGTCGAGCTGGTTATCCTCTCGACATCACTCCGTTATCAAGTAGATCAATTAAGCGCTTATTAGTAACTCTCTTTTCAACTCATCGAACCTTTGTTTACCGACAATCTCAATTGTCCATCTCTGAGCCAGTTAATCTCCCCCCTACAATTTGACTGGTATCAAAATTAAAAAAAATATATTAAATATTTTAAAAGTTGTTATTAAAAAATATATACAATATACTTTTATTATTTAACATATTATTATGCATTCATATGAAAGCCTGATTTGAAATTTATAAAAATTAAAATAAAAATACAACTTGTAGTAAGGAGAATAATACGCTGGGGGCGATGCCCCCTTATAATATGAAACAGAGAGTTGTCCAAATATTGGAACTAAATTACCGTTCACGATTTACGGTCTAATTTGTTCATTGATTTGGAAACTATTAATTACCAAAGTATATTAATTAGTTCAAACTAACCAAAGCAATTTTCATCTATATATCTATATAGTTATTTAAAATATGACATTTGTGGTACATAACTATGTACCACAAATGACATATTTTAAATAATTCAAATCTTTTTATTTCATCATTTTTTCCATTTTTTTTGTTTTTGATTTTTAATGCTTATCTTTGCAGTAGAGTAGTAAATTCAAAAATAAATAAAAAAAAGTGTTTTATATTTGCCTCGATAACCAGTGATATGAAAATTAACGTATTATTTGTCTGAAGAATCAATCAATTAGCGAGTGCAGTGAGCATCTCTGATGTTCATTTGTTTGACACGCTTGTTACCCACCCCGCGAGCAATCAAGTAAATAACCATTTTATATATCTACTCTGAAATCACAAAATCACCAATAAAAACGAGGGAAATAACTGGTCAAATAATGCGCGAGAGTAGAATATTTAGCTTGTTATTTATTATATGTATATATTTTAAAATATAAAACAACTACTTTATTAACAATAAAATTTATATTTAAATTTTCTTTTACAATTTCCCATTGTTTTTTGATTTATATAAAATTTTACTAATTTCGGCTTTCTATCACAATACAAATTTATATTAAAGATTTTAACGATAAAGTGAATTATAAAATGTATTTTTAAATCGATTTGTTTATGTTTGTTTGTATAAAAATTTTATTTATTTTTCACCTAATATTTAGGGGAGATTGGGCAAACCAGACATACTAACGATTTTTTTACTCTTGTGACTAAATGAACCAACCGATTTCATTTTTCATTTGCTTGTTTGAAAGATCATTTAATTGCTCAACTTTTTCGCAGAGACACTTACACTTTAACTTTCATTGTTTAGTTGCTGTGTTAACTTTAAAAAATTTTGCAAACTGTCCGGTTTGCCCCACCCCGTGGGGTAAACCTGTCAGTTAGGTTTTTTATCTATAATATTAAATTTATATAATCTACAATAACAACAAACATAAAGAATCATGTGAACAATGATTGTAATAATCCAATTCCACTCTATTATATATATTGTAGACCGACCGACCGACTCACACCGTGTACACATGTCTAACAAAATTTTAGAATGTTTCATTCACACATGTCCAAAAAACACATACCCATGTATATAACACATACACATGTATACCCACAGATATACACAAAACACATACAGTTATTAACAAATCAATAGTATAGTTTGGATTTTAAATCCAAAGTCAGTTTATAAAAATACAGAATGACGGTCGAAAATTAAAAAACCGGACAAGTGCGAGTAGAACTCGTACTAAAACCGTGGGTTCCGTACCCTCGTTTAAAACTTCTACTTTTTTTATGAAAAAAATATAAAGATCAACTCCAATATTTTTCGCTGTATTTTTTCTGTAATCTACAGGTGAAAATAAATAAATTACCAATTTTCATCTCTTCAGATAAAAAACTGTGGGCGCTAGGGTAAAAAACACGCTTTTTTGACGAAATTTTTAAAAACTTTGAGTTTTTCGCTGAAAAAAATATGAAGATCAAATCCAATCATGTTCGCTATATTTTTCCTGAAATCTACACACGAAAATACATAAAATAAGCAAAACTGCAGTCCAATGGGCCAAGAATTGTGAAAACCAAGGGGGGGGTTACACACTTTTTTTTCTAAAACGAAAAAAATTTTTAGTTTTTCGCAAAAAAAAAATATGAAGATGAACTCCAATAATTTTTTCTGTATGTTTGTTAAAATCTTCACGTAAAAATAAATAAATATGTATAACGCCAGTCCTCTAGGTTAAGAATTGTGAGAACCAGCAAGGGGTAAAGAATTTTCGAGCTTGCAAAAAGAGATTTTAGTTTTTCGATGAAAACACCATGAAGATCAATTCTAATCACTTCCGCTATATTTTTCCTGTAATCTATTTTTGAAAATATATATGCATACCAATTTTCATCTTTCTAGGTAAAAAACTGTGAGCGCTAGGGGGGGGTACATGATCATTTTCCGTAACCGTTTTAATAGGGTTCCTACCGGGTACGGAACCCTAAAAAGGCGAGCTTAGGCCATTAAAAAGACTACATTCAGGTTTCCGAAATCTCTAATTCCCAATCTGATTACAGTTTTTGAAAATAAAATTTGTCGGATTCAATAAGAATTTTGAATTTTTTGTGTCTTTTTTTGTACTTGTTCAACAATTTAAACATACATTTTTTAATTTCTCATTTTTTTTTTGAAAATTAAACAAAATTTTTTAAGAATCAATTTGATGGCAAAATCTAATAATCCTTTTCCAGCAGTGTATATTTTCAATAATTTGTTAAATAAGACAAGTTGTCAAAACAAGGTAATTAATTCGAATTTACGTATATATGTAAATGAATAGAAAATGAATGGTGAAAATTAAAATATAAATACGAAGATTATGCACTACTCAAGTGGTTGTTAATCTCTGATAATGGAAATAAGCTTGATGACTATTGTTATATATAGATATATAGTATCATTCA